CCGAAAGCTTTCGATCTTCTGAGTGAGTTAATTGAGTGAACTTTCTATTTCGATTAAGTGAGCTTTGATTTTAATTGAGTGAAAGAGACTTCTTTGTCTTATCTGGTTTACAGGTTTAGAGGAGACGCAATTTGAATATGTCAAAAGTGTGGGAAGGTGCCGTTGGAATTTATGAGCGGCGCGACAATAAATGTTCAGTCTGAGATTTAACATTAACAATTTCCCAGAGCCTTCTGAATTTAGAAATTGTATACTATATCTGAATTTCAAGTTTTGTTTCCTGTTGATGGGGTGACTCTAGAGTAAGATAGGTATAATGTGTGGAAAGGGTGTATAGGTGTGTAGGCATATGCATATTGTGTGAGGGTGTAGATGTGGATATGTCACTATATATGTATAACTTTACTCGTAGAGTAAAGGTGTTTTTTTTTATTCGTTGAAAAGTCTGTAACAGATAGATGTATTTCGACCCTATAAAGTATATATGAGTTAGCATATAACCCAAAGGTGTTGCAAGACCGGATGAAATTTTCCAAATCAGCGGTCTGTAAGCATGAAATACAAAACCCGCGTCGCTAAGTGGTAGGGCAACGCACCGGGCACGAAGCGCTAAGTCAGCGGTCCCACGCTAGTCCCGCTGACCAAGGCGGAAAAGTAATGCAGCGGGCTATGCAGCGGAAGCGAAGAACAAGGTTAGCACTCTGCCCGCTGCCGTCAATTCTGCTGGTCGCTGCCGACTTCAGGCCTTCTGCCCAGATTTCTTGTAAAACATTTAAGTTAGCATTAATTAGTGCTTAACAGACTCGAAAGGAATCCCAACGGACTCCTGGATAAATTTATTTTCAATAAACGGGAGTAGTTCCAAAAAAAGCCAGAATTCTAAACAACCACAATTTAAACCAGAAAACGCTAGTTACAGGCACCGAAACTTTTCACACAAAAATAAGTGCCAAGTGACAAATTCCAAAAAAGAATATAAGGGAAATATAACAGACAAAAGGTAGATACCACAACTCAGGAGCAAGAATACGCCGAAGATTATAAGAAACTGGCTCAAGACAATATAGAGGAACTCAAGGATGATTTACTCCCAACCGAAGATTATAATTTTTTATAAGCCGAAGGGTAGCGGGGAAAACTACTCGACTTCTAATAGATACAGGTGCATAGAAAAATTACATAGAACCTTAGCCAGGTCTGGCACACATTAAAAAAGTGGAGGAACCTTTATTGGTCTCATCGCTCCATGGCGCAACTAAAATGGAAAAATAATGTAAAATAAACCTTTTTAACGAAAATTTGTATTTTTTTATTTACGAAAACTATAAGGAATTCGATGGCATTGTTGGTCTAGATCATTTAAAGAAAGAAAATACTCGAATTGACCTTAGTACCGGTAGGATTGAACACAATTCAGGATCGGAAGAATTGCAATTTGCAAAATACAAGAAAATTATTTCAAGATCAATGATGCGGTTAGAAAAGAATTTAATTTAATGAACTCTTAACCTTAAGGAATTCGATGGCATTGATGGTCTAGATCATTTAAAGAAAGTAAATGCTCGAATTGACCTTAGTACCGGCAGGATTGAACATAATTCAGGATCGGAAGATTTGCAATTTGCTAAATATAAGGATATTAATTTTATCACTTTAAATGTCGATGATGTTCCCAATGCGGTTAGAAAAGAATTTAATTTAATTAATTAATGATCACTAAGAGGGCTGGGGCATTCGCAGACCCTAATCAAGCCCTACCATATAATATAAACACGATAGCAACTATCAGGTCTGGCTGGGAACCCGTGTTTTCTAAGCTATACCATTACCTAATTTGAGTATCTGATTTTGTCAATGCAGAAATTAAACAACTTCTAGAAGCCGGTATCATCTGAAAATCACGATCACCTTACAAGAATGCCGTGTGGGTTTTTGATAAAAAAAAGGGCACGAGGAAAGTGGCAACAAGAAAAAACGCCTCGTTATCGATTTTAGGAAACTAAATCAGAAAACGATTGACGATAAATATTTCTACTATACTGGCATATATGGGAAAGACCCAGTCATTTACAACATTGTACCTTAAATCAGGTTTTCACCAAATCGACTTGGCAGAGATAGATAGGGAGAAAACCGTCTTCTTTGTTAATAACGAAACATATGAGTTCTGTAGATTACCTTTTGGACTCAAGAATGCACCCAGCATTTTCCAAACAACTAAAGAAGATCATTTTAGGGAAATAAACTGGTTTCTTAAAAGCTTATATGAAGCCGAAATTATTTTTATGGAGTAATGACCATCAACAAAAAAATACGAATGCCCTAATAAAACGCTGGAAATCTTCTATTGACGACCATTGTCTACAAACCAAGCAAACAAAATGTTGTAGCCGATGCCCTCTCACGACAGAAAGCGAATCCCTTACCATTCATAGCGAATATTCACTCACCTACACTACAGAGTCAGTAGATAAACTAGTAAATAGTTTCCGTAATCAGATGTTCATTGAAGAAGCAGACTTCCCATCTAATAGAACCTTTATTGTATTCAAGGAAAAACACGGCATATTGTTCGTTTTTCCGACCGTGAAACTCTTATAGCAACACTATTAGACGTAGTAAGAGCGGATGTCGTTAATGCCATTCGTTGCGAACTGCCAATTCTTGCTTTTATTCAGCATAAACTAATCGAGGCAATCAGAACGTAAGTAATATGAAATAAGAAATAGTAACTTTAGAGCATAATATAGGCCATCGAGCAGCTCAAGAGATTCTGCGAGACTATTTTTTCCCAAAGATGATTCGGTGAGCAACGGAGGTTGTAAAATTTATTCAATGGCAAAGTACAACCGTCACACCGTCAACAGTCGGCCAAACGCCGATACCCTGTTATCCAGAAGAAATTCTCTATAAAGACATATTTTCAACAGATGGAAAACTCTTTTTCACATGTATTGATAAATTTTCTAAGTTCGCTATTGTACATCCGATCGCAGCCAGAGCATTCCCAATTTTAAGTATTGTGAATTTTTTCCTAACACACAAACAATTTACTGTGACAATGAAAAATCATTAAACTCCGAGACTATTAAGTTAATATTGCACAGCACCTCGAGCGAACAGGTCGAAAGATTACACAGCACCCTTAAATACAATAGAACTATCCACTCAGTGACTAATAAAACGCCTATAAAAATTATACACTCTAGATCTGCAGAATTCGAATCCGAGATTAGTACAAAAATTCAGCAGGTCCAGGAAAAAAGCTTTAACCACATAAACAAAAACAGGTCTTACGTAAGTTATCAGGTCGGCGACAAGGTTTGCATGAAATCAAACAAGCGCCTGGGAAACAAACTATCTCTCCTATTCTTGGAGGATGTAATTGAACCAGACCTTGGGACGACAGTTCTTATTAAAGGAAGGATAAGGAAAATTTAAAATAACGATTCTTCTAGACTTAATTTTAAATTTAGATTTTGGTTCTTTTCTTCTTTCTTGTTTCAGGTTAACGCTTTGGACTTTTATTCTGACTATGACCTTTTCGATGACCGCTGCCTTAAAAATAAACTCGGACAACATACCGGAAATAGATGGAGACGTCACAATCTGTGAGGAATTTTGGTATATACATTACTTCATATGAACTTTACTCACTCGAAACAAAGACTACAATTGACGCTTTTACACAGGACCACATGAGATGGATATTGACCGTGGACGTCGGACGGATAGATTCTTTGGTGGGTACTTTAAAAGTTCATAATAGGAATGCACGCAGCATTAGGATTAGCCCTAATGGCAATTGCAGGTAACCCAGACTTCGATGACTGGGAACCGATCAAAATTTGAACAGAAAAAATAAATTGAATCAGGTAGAAATGAATTCTAGAGTACAAACTCGTTTAAACGAATTAACCAAATCAATAAACGCAGTCTACAAATCAGATGAATAGACAAAAGTCACATTTTCGAAATAATCTTGGCCCAAAATAGAACTATAATAAATGATCTAGAAAATTTAAAATTCTTAATAACATTATCAGAAGCAAACTTAATAAACCCAGCAATTCTGAATGAAATTGATATTAAAGCAATAAATCACGAAAGGCTCACAAATTTTAGCTTTATCGATCTTTTAAAGGTATCCCAGATAAAAGCATTTAAAAATAATGATAAAATACAGTTCATCATAAAATACCTCAAAACTAAATTAGTATCTAAGAAACCTCTATCGATGGTGACCCACGTTAATATCACGGGCTACAGAGAACAGATGAGCCTGCCTTTCCTTTACGAGGCCTGAAAAATCTACAACACATCGAGCGTCTTGAAGAAGAAATTCTAACGGAGCCATCTTAACTAGCGGTATTACTTTGGTGATTGATTGGCGTAATCACCAAACTCTGAAGATGTCCGAGAACAACCTTAATTTAAAGGAGGGAGAGTTTGTATGGAACCCAAAGGTCTTGCAAGACCGGATGAAATTCTACAAATCAGCGGTCTGTAAGAATAAACTACAAAACCCTAGTCGCTGAGTGGTAGGGCAACGCACCGGGCACGAGGCGCTAAGTCAGCAGTCCCACGCTAGTCCCGCTGACCAAGGCGGAAAAGTAATGCAGCGGGCTATGCTGCGGACGTGAAGTACAAGGTTAGCATTCAGACAGCGTAAGCCAAAAATCTGATGATTTTTTAAGGTTGCATATTTTATTTATTTGTTTTTGAAAAATCCTAAGGAATACGAATTTCCTAGGAAAGTTCCAAAATTATTTAATAATTTCTTGACCATTAAATATAAAAGTGTTTGTTTCCCAGTTAGTCCTGGACAGGGGATTAACGTTTATAAACGCACGTTTTAAGCTGACTTTAGCTACGTTTTTACCCGCAACACTATAATTTTAGAGATACGCTATAACGCCGTTGCTAGGAGCCGCCAATTGACTCTCCAAATCTATTTTTGAAATATGAAACCGTTTTCTGCTTTGCATAAAATAGCCTACCTGTAAGGACCAATCTCCAGTTTGCTTGTTGTAAATTGAAGTAAATCTCTGATCCGAAGTATATGTGCTCTCAGAAACAGTTAGTAGGTGTAAGTCTCTATGGCGTATCCATGACACCTATTTAAAAATATACCTTGATATTATTTATATTATTAATTATGCACGGAACAAATTTAAGATATTGTCATAGTTTTAGGTATGGTAGTTTAATTTATTCTTATTTGAGGTTAATATTAGTGTATCAAAGCAAGTATTTTTAAAATGAATATATAGTGAAACTATTAAGGGCATCATTGAAGTATTTAAAAAAGAATGAGAGTGTGAGTAAAGAAGTAATTTTTAACTAAAGCATATACCAATCTATATTTAGTAACTGATGAAAATTGAGAGCAGAAAAGCAACAATATTAAGTTATAATGCTGTCCACTCAACTTTACCGTTTTGTTTCCAAGATTTTTTATGCGACAGTTCAGATGACCTGTTTTTCCAACTAAAGAAGTAACATTTTTTGTTGCAGACGTATCAAAATAAGGACCTCTGCTCAGGCCTCTGCTAAATTGTACAATGTACTCATCACTTAGGAGATATTGGTTTGCCATTGTCACTTTCTCTTCTGAATTTGTTGTGCAAGCTTCCCTTAAAATTACTAAGAAAGTAATTACATTTTTGTCTTAAAACTGTTTTTAACTACTTACAAATACTTATAAATAAACGTAAGTTCAAAAAAATTGTCATTTTTAATGCGATTATTTGCCAAACATTATACAATGAACGCGAATTAATGTTCGTAGATTTATGCGTTTTACATTTATTATATTAATCATGCGCAAAACGCATGCGCAATATGGATACATTATATACATACAATTCGTAAAAATGCCAAAACCTAGGTGATACCATACTGTCCTTTTTGCAATTTTTTAATATATTTTAAAGTTAAGCCTAGTACTCAGATCATCAGACTATCAGTCAGCTGGGCTTGTTAACCATATTTAATCATTATCAATACTGTAAATGTATATATACATATATGTAATATTTTACAATGTGATATTATAAATAACCATTTCCATAAACGCTTTCAGCTATATTTTGGTACGCTTTTAATAAAAGTCAACATTGTATTATTGTAGTTCATTTTTATGATTTTTTGGGTTTTTTCGTCCATTTTTTGATTCGAAAAATGCTATGCTCTGCCGACTCCAATATCAAACAAGAAAGGAAGCAAACTTCAGCAAGCCGAAGTTCATATACCCTTGCAGCTATTGCAAGAATTAAATAATTTTGTAAACATTAAAATTAAGATTTACTTACATATATGTTTAAAAACATTAAAGCTATGATGATTTGCAGCTCAATTATTAGATAGTTATTATATATTTTTATATTATATCAATGGGAGTTATATAATATAATCGTCCGATTTTGATGAAATTTAAACCGTAATTCTGAAATATTTAACCATTACTATATGTCGAAGAACTTATAAAAGAATTGAAAAACGGCAAAGTTATAATTTTTATTGTATTTTTTTCCGATTGTTCCTATGGGGGCTATATGATATAGTCGTCCGATTTTGATGAAATATAAACCGTAATTCTGAAATATTTAACCATTACTATATGACGAAGAAATAAAAAAAAAATTAAGAAACAGAAAAGTTATAATTTTTTTCGTCCGATCCGGCTCGTTCCGACTTATATACTACCTGCAATAGAAAGACAACTTTTGGGAAAGTTTCAGGCAGATAGCTTTAAAACTGAAAGATCAGTTTGCATAGAAGCGGACGGACAGACGGACGAACAGACGGACATGGCTAGATCGAGTCTGCTAGCGATCCTGATCAAGAATACTTTATAGGGTCGGAGATGTCTCCTTTACTGCGTTGCAAACTTCTGACTGAAATTATAATACCCTCTGCAAGGGTATAAAAATACTCTTTTTTCCTTACGCCGGGTCCTTGCTTACGTTCACACAGAGAAATCTGGCAATAGTTTGCAATTTTCTGGTATTTTTTCGTCGATCTGAGTACCGGGGTGATTATACGTGTTTACATTTATTATATTAACCATGCGCAAAACGCATGCGCAATTTGAATACATTATATACATGTAATTCATAAAAATGCCAAAACCTAGTTGTTACCATACTATTCTTTTTGCAATTTTTTAAATTTAAGCCTAGTAAGTTTCGTCCGCGTAAAAAGTTTATTCTTATCCTGACCGAAGTTTTGGTCTTACGGTCTTACTGTCAGCTGGGGTTGTTGACAAACGGAAACCAATTCAAATTTAACCCGCCAGCTTGCAAGAATATTTAATCAAAAGTGACAAATAAATGGATCGGGAATATTTTGATGTTAACAATGTATTATTGTAGTACATTTTGTTGAGTTTCTTGGGTTTTTCCGTCCATTTTTTGATCCGACAACGACTTGCTCTGCCAACTCGAATTTCAAATAAATTAAATTTTTTATTTCCTACGCCGGGGCCTGGCGTACGTTCTCCCAGAGAGGGAGAACGCATAACTGCCAGAATAGCAAGAAAGAACGCAAAATTCGGCAAGCCGAAGTTCATATACCCTTGCAGCTATTGCAAGGATTAAATATTTTTGAAAACAATAAAATTATGATTTACTTGTGTATATGTTTAAAAACATTGAAGCTATGATGATTTGCATTCCAATTATTAGATATTTATTTTATATATTTGTATTATTTCAATGGGAGCTATATGATATAGTCGTCCGATTTTGATGAAATTTAAACCGTAATTCTAAAATGTTTAACCATTACTATGTATATGTCGAAGAACTAAAAAAAAAATTAAAAAAAGCAAGTTATAATTGTTTTTAATTTATTTTTTCGATTGTTCCTATGGGAGCTATATGCTATAGTCGTCCGATCTGGTTCGTTCCGAGTTATATAACCCTGCGATAGAAAGACAACTTTTAAGGTAGATAGATAGATTCAGATAGCTTTAAAACTGAGAGACTAGTTTGCGTAGAAACGGACGGACAGACGGACATGGCTAGATCGACTCGCCTAGTGATGCTGATCAAGAATATATATACTTTATAGGGTCGGAGATGTCTCCTTCACTGCGTTGCAAACTTCTGACTGAAATTATAATACCCTCTGCAAGGGTATAAAAATGGTAAGCACTGCTGGAGAGTTTGTTATACCAAAAGGTACAAACAGGAACTCATACTGGCCACTTTGAGTAACGAACGATGTATACTTTTGGGATTCTGCCGAAACAGGCACATGAAAGAAACCATTATTCAAATCTAATGTTGTGAAAACCTCTCCTCCTTGAAATTTCACGATCACGCAATCCATGCGAGCAGTTGGGAAATAATCTCGGATAATCTTCTCAATTTTCTTGCGATAATTGCAACACAAGCGCTTTTTCCTATTCTTCTTATTAACAAGAAGCACCGGCGAAACAAACTCGAATACACTAGGCTTAATTATCCCTTCATCTAGCCATTCTTGAACCTAATCATCGACGATTTTCTGATTGCAATATGCCAAACATATCGGATGTTGGAAAACACGCAACTCATTTGCTAGCAAATGAGAAGTGAGATTTCGTTTTGGTTTGTAGTCCTCAATCATGAGCTCAAGTTCTGACACTACTTTACGACTCAAATCGACTTCCGAAAATGCATTACAGTCTTCCAATCTTATCATGCACAAGCTCTCAAACTCGGTAATTAGCTGCACACAATAACTTTGAATAATCTGGCTGTCGACCGCTGCTCTCTTAGTATCCTTTTGCACACTAGGAACCATTAACAAAAAAATATGGAACCGGACCTTCATATCCACTATGTCTAAGTTTGTTGAGCCTAAAATTGCGTCAAACTTGACGTTCCCATTAGGAATAACATGAAACTCGACCGACATGTAAGTCCCTCTGTAATAAAACTGTCAAACGTAAGCACCTGACTCTCACCGATTCCTGTTAAGACACATTGACGAACCATCAGAGCACAAACTCCTACACCTAATTTTATGAACACACGCCTACGCATCAAACACAATTCGGTTCCTGAATCAACAAGTTCTTTGAATTCTGAATTCATGCAGATCACAGTTTTCAGTTACAGGCTCAAAGAAAAGGATGCACGTGATGGCAAAGCCATTTTATACATTTTTATACTCTACGATATTTGTAGCACTTTCTCCCTGGACCGGCCCTTCTGCTCTACACTGCGCTGCGCGTTGTCCTGACTGATCGCACTTAAACCATCTACCATTTACCGGACAGTCTTTCTTCGACGAATATCCACACCTGAAACACGTTGTAGCTTTAAATCCTTTAAGTTCCTAGCCTGACACAACATCCCTAGCGTCATCCTTAAAAACGAAACTCTACCCTCAACATCTTTCAAAGTAAACCACCATCTTCCCTGCCTTTCAAATCCCATGCCTTGAGGATTTAAAGTGGTTTTTGCGGACACCGATAATTCACCATTTTCACCACTATTTTTCGTTTCTGACTCACCCTTCTTATTCACTCCAAAGCGGGTCAATAATCTCTGTTGCAATTCCGCTTTCAATCCAGTCTTACCCAAGTGCAACTCCGACAACTTCCGACGTAATTCTTCAACTGCAGACAAATGTAGGGGTTTTCTTTGCTACTGTGAGCGTTTCAGCCCGAGTTACTGCTAAATCTTAACAACCATTTATGTTCCCCCACCAGCAGGGTTTCCGGTTCGCAACCGTAACCTCAAGTAGGTTAAACCAAATCAAAACCGTAACCGTAGCCAAAACTGGAACTGGAACCGATATAATACGTTTTTGCTTAACCTGAACCGTAACCAAAATATATAGCAACCGTTACCGATACCTAAACATTACTCCCAGTTCTGTAAAAATGTGTTCCCTAAAAATACATAAGTACACGTCTTGACCATTTAATATGTAGGATCCTGCATATGTTTTTCTTTTAGAAGATTTTTCCTACAATACGTATTATTGAAAATAAAAGAAGAAAAACCAAAAACCATTCAAATTCCGACTTAAAACTTTAAACGTAAGACAAACTTAAGCTTAATGTGAAAAAAGTGTGAATGAGCAACTAATATTAATTTTTTTTATAAAAAGTATTTGCTAAACGTTAGTATGTAAATAAGTACTAGTAATAAATTCAAAGCTTTCAGAAAAGCTTGAGGGAACAGCGATGTCAGCATAGCAAAGGAGGAGCCAAGAATTTATTTATGAGAAGCTTACGCAAAAAAATATCTCCGCTGCACACTCTACAATTTTTAATAGATTAGATTAATAGATCAATTAATTTTAGCCTTGATGAGTAAGGTGGCAAACGACCGCCGGGTCCCAATTCAGCTGAGAGCAAATAATAAAAATTGCTTTTGGATTGTCTCCATTAATTTTTTTTGTCACTAAATCGAACCCTGGAAATGTACAGAGTTTTTGTTGTATACGATTCATCAAACTCCTTGGCCCAACGTTTTATGAAGACTACAAAACCCTTAGATTTATTAATGGTGACAGAAATATGACTTTTGAAACATAACTTGATATCGAATAGGACACCCAGATCAGTTCATTGCGTAATACGTTCTAGAGTAGAGTTTCCAGGCGTGGTTAAGAAGCAACCAGTTATTTTAACACCATTGATCATTGTAATTGATCAATGTCAGACTGTAGGCGAAGGTATGACATTTGGTCAGAGAATGATAGGCAAATTTGTACGCCGTCCGTAAATGACAATACTTTTTTCGTTAATAAAAAGAACGAATCGTAGCGGCCCAGATGACTTCCTTGGGGGACACAAGAAAACACATTTACGACAGTAGAAAGTTGGTTATTGAAAGAACACGTTGAGTTCTGTTTGAAAGATAGGCCGAAATCGACTTAAGTAAATTTGGTACAGACCTAGGAAGGGATGCCTTTCTGAAGTCAGTAAAAAGAATGCAGAAGAATTGATGGAGGCACACATATGTTGAAGTTGCAAATGACCAACTGCTCGAAAAGCTTAGGTATGGCAGAAAGTTTGTCTATACCACAATAATTTTTGACATCGGACCTTTTACCTAGTAAAAGATTCATTCCAAATTCTAGTGAATTGTAGAGATTGTAGAGAGTAGGTTTACTGAAAAAAATTGCAAAAGAAAAGATATGTTTAAATAGTTCAGTTCGGATGTGTTAATAGATAGTTGAGGGGTATGCGTTCGATTTTCATTTAGAATTTACAAAGGAGTAAAAATGTTTCGGTTCATCACGAAGGTTTTCTCTACATTGAGCGATGTAGCAATCATAACCAAGCTTAGAATCATTTATAAACAGGGCACGTTTCGTGGCTTATTTGAAAAATCCCTTGTAAAGTTGGTTTTAAAATATTTTTTATACAATCCCGATGTTTTATTTTTGGGGTAGGACAAGTGCCTATTGAACCATGGGGGTTTAGATGTGTCACTCAACGATACTTCAGGATATGTCAAATTAAAGGATGGCACCGCAGCCTCTAGATCACTACATGATTTTAATGTGGACCAATCAATAGCATTTAAATGCTGGTGTAAACCGACAAAATTGGCATTGCGGAAACATTTCACACGTAAGGCCGACTAAGTCTGAATTTCTGCAGCAATCTAAACATTTAACAACAAGGTGGGATGGTAGGGGTCTTCTGGTACAGAAAAGGGAGGGCTTCAGAGGATATTGTTGAAAGTGTCGTTACTAACACAGATTAAATCAAGAAGTCGGTTCATATGGCTCGTAACAAAGATTATCTGGCCCAAAGACGCGTCAGTCAGGCCGTCGATAAACTCGTGCTGACTTTCGGCAAAAAGGAGATTGTCCATTGAAAAAATCCAAGACACGTTAGGTATGCCTAAATCGCCCATTATAATAAGGTGGTCCTCATCGGCAATAGAAGAGGATACTGACAGGTGTATTAAAAAGAGAGAAGTATCAGATCTATTTAGAACGTAAGAGCAGTTCTATAGGTAACAAACTTATCAACGAATATTTCATGATCGGAAACCTAAGTTAAAGCAATGACGGGACTTGGGATTTTTCTTTTCGGTGACTCGGTGATCTTAGGACCAAGAAACTGAGATTCCACTTCCAGGAATTTGTCATTCATAGCGTTGAAAAGTTTACGAACTTCAATAAATCCAGTCCTAGTTCATCTCATGAACATACTCATTTCATCTGTCATCTCGCGACATGACGTGGTGGACCAGTTAAACCAACTCTTTTAGGTATTTTTATTTTTTTTTTAAATTATTTATTTTTTTATTTATTACATTAATGATAGCAAATATCTGTCAACATAAATATAGTACTCGACTCACACCAAGTGGGAGGGGGAAAGGACAGGTGAGTTAGGATGTTTGTTACAATTAAATTAATAGAGCATTCAGAAAATATGAAAAAATACATTTCGTTATATTGCGAACATAAAACGTGAAATGGATCATGTACCTCGAAATTCGACTTACAAATATCAAGGGCAATAGGTCGAAAGTGACGAGTAGACCCTTAAAGGGATGGAGAACCGTATTTGACCCAGTAGGTAGCTTGAATGTACAAGTCCAGTAATTAATTTGTGAAGGAACGAGACACTATGGCACATCCGACGATCCTTGAGGGAGGACAGGTTCAGTAGACGCAGTGTATCCAAGTAAGATGGTAGGTGACGATGTGTATCCCAGTTCAAACCACGGAAAGCAAACAAAAGGAACTGTTTCTGTACCGATTCTATAAGGTCCTAATAATTGGTATATTGAGGAGACCAAACACACGAGCAGTATTCAATAATTGGACAAACCAAGGAAGTGTATAAATGTTTCGTAGTATAGGGGTCCTCAAAATCCTAGGACCAACGTTTAACAAAGGCACAAACCCCTTTTGCTTTACTAACCATAATGCCAATGTGATCAGATAAGTTTAAGTTGTGGTTAAATAACACTCCAAGGTCTGTTACGAAATTTATGCGTTCAAGATCATTCGACCCAATAGAATATAAAGTGAGGAGAAGCCTCTTCCGATAAAAGCACATAAAGTTAGATTTCGAGTTGTTTAAAAACAGCAAATTCTGGATGCACCAAGAATGCAGATTGTTCAGATCGGCTACTGAAGTCCGCAAAAATTACATCAGTTTGATAGTTATTTTTGAAAGCGCTTCTGATGACTGAGATAAATTCAAAAATATTTGCAGTCGTTAACCTTCGTTTCTTAAAGCCATGCTGAGTTGGGACATTACTGAGCTGCATTGCTGCTGTAGCTGAGCGTTAATAATCTGTTCAAGAAGCTTGGGAATCGCGCTCAGTTTTTAATGTCCGATTTGCTTGCCTTTTTATGAAGTGGAATGATAAAAGATTCCTTCCAAACTTCAGGGAAATACGAGCGTAGGAGGGATATCTGAAAAAATTTGGAAAATGGTTTACACAAAGCATTTTTTTTATAACACAGCTCGGTACAATATCAGAGCCCGAAGAGAAAGACGTCTTGATTGCTTGCAGATTTTGTAAAACATCATCCTCACTAATTAGGAGAATTCGAATTAGCAAATGCGTAGAACTGCTTTGGTTTGACTTGGAATTTTATTCTGCAACGACTTAGGTAACTATTGTAACATTCTGAATTGTGGACTAAGAAAGTTGAACCAGCAATTAGATACCTCGAATGGTCAACTTGCAGATTGGTTCTCCTAAATTTCTTAAAACGTCTGGACATGCAGATTTTCAGGAATGAGAGTCTATGAGAGAACCATCATCGTTTGAATCCATAAAAGACCAATCGAGTTCCAACAAATGCCTATTCATTTAGCTCTTCGAAAACAGCGAAAAGATTCTGGTTTCGGGACATGACAATAATGGAGCTGATTGCTCCAATCCCGCTTTCGGGGATGTCAGGGAGGTTAAAGTCGCCCATAAAAATAAAATGATAGTTATAGCCGAAGGTTCAATAAATACTCTGTATTTGAGCCAAATGCTGAATGTAGATGCTAAGATGCTTGATTTCTAGAAAATATTTCGCAGTCACACAAAGAGGAATTAAGCCACGTTTGGGTAAAAGCAATCACATTGTCATCGAAGGAGACACTGTTGACGTGCAGTTTACACAATAAGCTGCGAATATTTTGGTAGTGTATGGAAAAAGAATTTATCATTTTGTGGAACGTTGGATAAAGGAATCTGAGGCCCATGGACCAGAGGATTAAGCATGTTTACGTACTCGTGAATAATAATATGTTCAGGCCATATAGAAACATCGAGTGCCTTATTAAGATGTTCCTCAGGAAATGGAATTTCAAACGAATATAATTCACGTTTTTGCTTAAACTTGAACTTTAAGACGGTTAGTTTGGCTCGAGAAACATTCAGTTTGCTGCTCATGAAATTTTTGACTTCATCCTTAGAATTTAAATTAAATCAAAAGCCCAACTCTGACGTTGAAGCCAGCTCCAGCGCACTTAACATGCGAACAGTTATCACATAGCCACCATATGAGGTAGGTTTCGCCGCTAATAATGTCATTATACTTGCATTTTCTGGCAGTGCAAGCGATGGTCATTTTGGTTAAGACTCAGGTCACTGTGGACTGACAAGAAGAGGGGAGTTTGGGTGTAGTTTGTGAGCGTCAGAAGCAGCAGCAGTGCGGGGAAACGGTCGAATAAGAGCCTCGAGCGTAAGCGAGAAAAGACGGACAGCAGTGGTGATGAGAGCGATCAGCAGTAAGCGCTTAACAGCAGCAGGGCAGATACCGTAGAGCGATCGAATGTAAGCGTTAAGAAAACCAAGTGTATCGAATGCAGCTTCTTGTGAATGTGCACGGGAGTGCAATGTCACAAACAGCACCAAAACTATAGGACTAGCGGTAAACGCTGACCAAGCCGAGCAATACGAAAAACATTCAATTAGCAGCTTGTTTTAATTTAATATATAGTTATTAACTATCAACTTTTCCAAATAGCTCGTATTTATGTAGGTAGCAGCGATACTGTCAGAGTGTAAGATAACTGAGCTATGCAAAATAGGTATAATCTAAAAAAACACGGTTTGAAAGAGGTGCGTCGTAATACACGTCCGATTAGATGAAGCTCTCTGCGATATTATTTTTAATCAATAATAAAAAAATTAAAAGTTAAAAGAACAACGAAAGGTGACAGCACATGGCTCAGATCAGTATATTCGGTCATTCGATGGGGTCTATAAATACAACAGATTAACATTTTTGACTTGAAACTAGGATCTACGACTTCCAGAAACAAATATTCAACTCTACCTTCGATCGGTTTTGATTTAATAAGCTTTGAAGTGTATTTGTTGCTTACAAAAATCGCCACACCACCTGCGTGTTTTAATCTGTCGGACCTATGCAACACGTAGCAACAACATTCAAAAGGGACGTCACTGCAGCCACTTACAAACCATGTTTCTCAAACACATACTATATCAACATTTGATCCTACAAAAAGTTTCCTAAACTCATCCATTTTTCTGACCAAGCTTTGAGCATTTATGTGGACAACCTTCAGACCAACTTTCTGTTTACACAGAATTCTCAGCAGACTGCTCGCTGTTGCATTATTTGTATTGACCTGCATTAATGGTGGGGAATAAGGTAAATTGGGAAACGCACATATGAATTGAGAAGGCACAAGCTAGATTTGAACGAAAAAAGATTATCACTAGAAAACCTAAATTACTCTTAAAACTATAAAAATAAAGAGGTTAGCTGCATAAGAGATGTTATTAACGAAAGCTGTTTTTGGCAGCACGAGGGGTAACTTCGGCAACCAGTGCGCTGGATCCAGAGAGGGGGAGAGCAGACTCAGCAGCCGGGATGTAAAGCCGGGAATGTAAATGTCCTCTCTCCCACTGCACTTCACGTGCACAATACCACGGCGCGTAAAAACAGCAGCAAGAGATTTCTGCTTCTTCAAACGCATGGCTTCTCATTAACGTAGAGAGCGACCGGCGAGTCAAAGCCCAACAGGTGTATGCTCAGTTGCTGTTTTGTTGTTCGTCGGAAATCAGCCAGTGCGCGAAGTGAAACTTTTTCCCTCGTAGTTTGCAATTTTATTAGAATTGGCGGCTCAACCAGTGAATTTTGCGATTTTCGGACTCTAAAACTGTCGCGGACTCTCGGGCCGAAGTTACTCTCCTTCCACAAAAGGATCGCCATGCATACGCACTGCGCACGCCTCAAGCTTGCCTTGCACCGTGCCAATTTGGGATTTTAGGGAGCGCAGCTCCTCAACCTCATGCTCCAGCTGCAAGATGCGATCGGCCATCTGCGTCATCTCCGTGGTGACACCCAAGAGCCGTTCCTGCAGCATTTCAAGCACCCTCTCCTCGACCTCACGGATGGTAGACTGGATCAGCTGGGCTTGTTCGTCGAAACGGCTATTCATTGCCGCGATAAGCTTTGGTGAGGCAGTGTCAAGGCAGCGTCAGAGGGGCGTCCGCGCTTAGAGCGAGAGGTTTCTTTCAAGCGTTTTCCCTCTGGCAAAAGCATATTTTGTTTTTTTTTTATTTTTTGTTGAGTTGATGTTGTGTTGGTGACGAGAGTTTTTCGATTGAGTGTTTGATGTGTTGAGTTTTTTGTCTCTGTGCTCTGGTATGTATTCTGTTATGCACTGTTTCTTAAATGATTTGTTGTTGCACTCAAAATTGTGGATTTAATAGGAAGCGATTTTTGCAGCTTAGAATCGATTTATTCCGGGCAAAATGAATTTTTATGTGTTGTACTCTTATTTATGCTGCTGAAGTAAGCAGTTTTTAGTATTTTAAAGCCGTGTTTAAGGTATTTTCGGTGTTAAAGCGGAGCTTCACAAAAGTGCGTCTATTTGATTCAATAACGATTTTTATAATGTCGTCCGATTTATCCGACTTATATACTACCTGTAATAGAAAGACATCTTTTGGGAAAGTTTCATTCAGATAGCTTTAAAACTGAAAGACTAGTTTGCGTAGAAACGGACGGACAGACGGTTATAGCTAGATCGACTCGCCTAGTGATGGTGATCAAGAAGATATATGCTTTATAGGGTCGGAAATGTCCCCTTCACTGCGTTTCTAACTTCTGACTGAAACTACATTACCCTCTGCAGGGGTACAAAAAGAAGAAAAACGAAAGAAATATTATTTTAATTCATTCATTGGTTGGTTGCGGTACTCTAACCGCAACCGAAATAAAAAATTGTTACCAAAACCGAATCAGTAATAAACATAGTAATTAAATTTCTTTTGGGTATTAATATTATCAAAAAGAAAAGAAGAAAAACGAAAAAAATTGTATTTTAATTCATTTATTGGTTGGTTGCGGTACTGTAACCGCAAGCAAAATAAAAAATTGTTACCAAAACCGAAACAGTAATGAAAATAGTATATTGATTGCAACCGTAACAGTAACCGAAACCGATATGGCTTGTAGCCCTTAACGGAAACTTATCCAGTGGATTTGGCCCTGGAAATTTGGAATTCAATTTCTTTTGGATAGGGACTTTGGACTATGAATCTTTTTGTTAATTCTGATAATTCGCAACGTGAGGATCTGGAAACACAGCGACAGCCTCTGGTGATTGCGATTGCGGTTGCTTATCAGCTCTTTGATCGTTTAAGTTATATAAAGGACTTTCTTGGATAGTATCTCCAATGTGTTCCGGGTGTGATATCTTGCTGAGATCACGTCGGGGTCACCAAATTTTAATGCGCAACGAGAGGAACTGAAGACACAGCGACAGCCTCTTATGATTGCGTTTGGGGTTGAGTAACAGCTCTTTGATCGTTTGATTTTGGTACTGACTGAATTTAATGAACGTAACGGTATTTATAGGAAATATACTGGTACATAAGTGCTTAGGCTAACAAAGTAGGTGGAAAGAGAAATAGAAATTATTCGTACTTTACTATAGCCAAAATGCATTGGTAGCACAAACTATTGCCCGCTATATGAAACTAAGGTTATTGTTTCGGCGAACTGCTGATGGTTCGACTGAACTACTGTCTGTTTTGATGACTAACTTGGCTGTATTTCTTTTGATATTTAATACTCGGCCCACATTCATGATTGCGATAATAATGTAAATATGTAGGCCAGTGTGTCTTAACAAATTTCTTTATATGGGCACTCTCGAAATTATGGGCTTCACTACTGCCTCAAGCTTACTTGCAACGCGATTTAAGTCAAAACAGTCTACTACGACCTGCTCCACCTGCGACGGACAGCAAAAACCTTCAAGTTTTCCGGTCCTCTTTGCACATCGTTGACAATTCCGCCAGTTAATTTTTTCCCCTTGACTACTTCCTCTTTTTATTTCAGAACGTTCTGCTGTCTCTTGCCAGTCTATTAATACTTTTCTCAACAAAATTTTTGGAGGTAAAATAACTAAAAGTTTTTATTTTGTTTAAGCAAAAGTATCTTGTAGGTGGCGCATAACAGAATCAACCCAAGATCTTAGATGTGCCAATGAGCTTCCAAGCTTAAATCAGGCTTGTGGTTGGGTTTTACCCAACTCTAACAAAAACCCACAAGACTGATAAGTTAGGGGCTGCTACTGCCGCATCATAGTTGCCATTGCTTTTTCCTTGCATTTCTTCTTACTCATAGATAAACAAAAAATTCAATATTTATATTTAAAAAACCGCTGCGTCCTCGTTATCACGATTTCAGCCCATGTAGAGATCGGAATAAAATCTAACAAATTCTTCATTAGTTAAGATGCCGTTTTCGGGTATAAAACAATAATTTTAAATAACAAAACGGCGTCGACTTGAAAACAAAAAATATTTGTAACAAACTTTGTCGACCCTTTCGAATATTTGAAAAATACTTATATTCCAAATTGTGTATTTCCGAGGCAGACGAGATAGAGAGTAGTATAAACGAGATATATACCAAATTTAAAATAGTCTGTATCTCCTTAAATAGTTCGAATTTTGAAAAATCATTTAAGGTTCATATTTTTAAAGTTAAACTTTTAAAATAAATTCATTTTTAGTTTTACAAACCTCTTTTAATTCTGTACCTGTTCTTTTCCCTCCCCAGATCCCAGCAAAAAGTGAGAAACCACATTTCTGGCTTATCTCTTAAGTATGACTTAGGTCCTTTATTAAATGAATGAGTTTATTAAAGCTATATAAATAAAAACCAATGCAACTTTCGTTGTAATTCTATCCCCCATAAACCGCAGAAAAGGAATTGATGAAACCTTTAATAATATATTCGTGTTAGTTCAAGGATGGCTTATAGCCAAATCTATGTGTTCGAAATCTTATCCAAATCTTATCCAAATCTTTCACATTAAACACCATTTGAATAGTCTCCTGTATGGTTCATCAATAACATTATTATGGAATATCAATCCACCAAAAATTTATAATGTTACACGACGAAGATATGACAGTATCGGGGACGCTATCTTACTATTACAATAAATAAGCAGATACTTATAAATAACACCAAACAGAAGTTATAACTAGAAGTATTACATCTCGAAGTTATGAGAAACCTCAAAAAGTAGTGTACATAGGAAAAGTACAGAAAAAACATTTTTCCGTAATATACGGTATGTTTGTGCTTCTAACGATACTGGCAATATGGAGAATTAGAAAAACAAAAACAATCTTCATCCCCAATGCTTTTCTGCAAAAATGTCGCTCTGGATATACCACAGATGTGGCCATCGCTCCATTCTCGGGGGGAGGAGTTACCATACCGCTACCATCGACTACGCCACCGCCTAAACCACCCCGTGCTACCCTCTTCCAATTGGACAGCGCCCGGCAGCTAGCCGTTTGTTGTCCCACATAGGATTGATATAAGAAATGCAACATCAGCACAAGGCAGGATGTTGCTAAACGACACCCAATCAGCAGAGCTCTAGAAAATACTTTGTTAACATTTATACATCCACACATACATAATTTTAAATACATAAAAGGTTCGAAGGTTCGGTTTGAATCTCAAGCCACAATAAAGATTATTCCGTTTGGAACAACCTAACCGAACACATTAACTGTTTATTAAAATCCTCTTTGAATAATAATACCTGGCGCAACCGGACCTATCAGCCGGAAGGAGGAAAAAAGACATACCATACCCGGAGAATTGTGAAGGACCGAAGTGATGAGAACGATTATTTTTATAATTTATATGCAACAGTAAGTTAAAATAGTGGAAGCGAGGTGTGTAGTGTAAATAGAAAAAAGAAGGGTTGCACATGTATATTAACGATAAAATTGATAAGGGCATGAAATGAGTAAAAAAGGAAAAAAAGGAGAAAACAAAGAACATTGACAAGAATAAATTAATTGAAATAATGTGTTGACTGTGAATATCGTTGCAATGCAACCTGGCGAACCGCAACGTCATCGAACCATATAGTTCGACGGAGTGAGTTGCGAGTATGACGTTCGAGGTTCGATGCTGGACGCGAACGTCAAACATGCAGCTTGGGGAAAGAAACCCAAGTCGCTGGTTGGATACTCTGCCTGCCAGTAAATGAAAAAAAAAAATAATAATAAAAAAAAAATATCTATTGCAAGTGACTGTCCGCTCGTGGCTGGAATAAATGCATCGCGCAGGAATTCCAAATAGCTTCAGCACGGTGCAAAAAACAAAAAAGTTTCGAAACGATAAAAAAAACAAATTTTATTAGTTGCTGCCATTAGTACCACTGCACCGCGCAAGTGTAACTGATGGGCAACATCACAGAAAAAAGTAAACAGACAGGGAAATCCCAAAGATCACTGCATCGCGCAAGGGTATTCGGTGAATCTCAAAGTTAAGTAAAAGAAGGAATAAATCATAGCACATTCAAGAAGAATTTGTTGCCATATCGGAAACCATTGCATCGCGCAAGGGTGACGGTTCAGCAATAATAATTGAAAAAAAAGAAAGAAAAATATAAAAATAATATGTATATGTGTTACAAAAGAAAAAAATATAAGGGAACCCGATACCACTGCATCGCGCAAGGGTATAGAAGGGTATGTAAAGAAAGATAACAAAAAACACATAAACAACACTTCCAACACAATACATTCTTAAAAAATTATAAAACAAATTAAACAAATGATAATAACAAAATTTTACAGATAAAAGACACCGACACACACCTCACTTCTAAGGAAAAGTAATTATTAAAGACACATCAGGAAAAAGCTAAGAAAATTTATAATAAGCATAAGCAAAAAATAATAATTATTATTAGTAAACAAAAGAAAATTGTAAATGTCAAAAATCTGCAAAGTCAAAGAGTCACTTGGGCCTCTGACTAGAAGTAAAGTTAGCAAAAAGGCTACCAGTTTGCCAACGATAGTGGAACAATTAAATTTTGAGCCCTCAACTTCTAGAGCAATACAGAACAGGGAAGCTAATACAATGACGCATCAGGAAAATTTAGGAATGCAACAGGCAACGTTTGAGATGTTAGGAACGGTAAATATTTTCGATGTGATCCGGTCGATGCACGTTCATATGGAGGAAAAAAGAAAGTTTATGTTAAACGCAGAAGAGATCCTTTTAATGATTAGAGGAATGGACCAAACACCGATGGTACTGATGGTCCTTAGGCAAATAAGGAATAAAATCCAAGGAAAGGCCGATAACATATTGGTAAAATAAAATAGTGAATTAAATTGATAGCCCATTTTGCAGATAAGAGGTCAGAACTCGATTTAATGAGGGAATTAAATCAGTTAGAAAATAAGAAACTAACAGTAGAATTATTTTACTCGGAGGTATCTGATGTGCATAAGGCATTGTGTAATGTTATAGACAGGACAGATACAAACCCCATCGTGTCTAGAAGTGTTTGTAACAGGTCTAAAAGTCAATTTAGGTAGTGCTGTCAGGGTAAGAGTTCCAAAGACTTGGAAGTTAAATTAGAAACAGAGGGTAAAGAGGGTACAATAATAACTTTAACAGAGATAATGGAGGATATAGGCAACAAGGAGGAAATAATAGGAACCTCAGGTGGAATAGGGAAGATAACAGGAATAGAGGATATGACGATCAGTCGCCATCTAATTCTTCAGGATATAATACAAAGGCAAGAGGAGGTAATCGTTTGATTTCCTTCTATTTCATTTCCATTCCTGGTTTGATGGATTATTGGGAATGAACATATTAATTAAGTTAGGTGCAAGTTTAGATTTAGAAAACCTCGTATTAGGAAATAAGACAGGGACAGTTAAGGTCCATTTGAAGCCCAATAGGACCACTGACATACATTTCCCGGAGGAGGCGACTAGAACAATTGTTACCTTACCAGTTTCAATAAACAATTGGCTCTTTTTTGATACAAACAACACTAGTGGAAGAAGGGTAAGAAATTACTTACCGAATTTATAATGCAAGAAAGGTACAGGCCGACCCGGAAGTTATTAATTTCACAGGAAAAGAAAAAATATTATACCTCGAAAACTCCTTGGCTGTCACTGCATATGATTCCAAAGATTATAAAGAAATCGAAATGCTTAGACCATTTAAACAGAAGTATGTAAGCAGAGAAATTAACACAATGGAAATAATCGGGGGTGATGCAAGGCATGCAAAATTGGATATGTCGCATCTTAATACAGAAGAAAAGGCAAGCATTAAAAAACTGTATTCGGAATTTCCAAGTATTTGACATTTACCAATGTGGTAACCCACTCAACTCCAACAACGTACGATATTCCTATCTATAAAAAGCCGTACAGATATAAATTTAAACAAAGGGAAGAATTGAAGAATCAGATACAGGAGTTGTTAGAACAGGAAGTTATTAGGCACAGTCACTCACCTTAAAGTGCACCAGTTTGGCTGGTACCAAAGACGATGGACCTATCAGGATATCCACAAAAGTTGAGATTGGTGGTCGGTTTTAGGAAGTTGAACGAGAAGACAGTAAAGGAAAGGTATCCGATGCCAGTAATTGGCGAAGTACTCGATAAACTTGAAAAGTCCATGTATTTCTCAGTATTAGATTTGGCTAGCGGATACCATCAGATTAAGAAGGAAAAACAGGACATTCCAAAAACAGCATTTACAACAGATAACGGGCACTTTGAATATGTAAGGATGCCATTTGGATTGACAAATGCTCCAGCGACGTTTCAAAGAGTGATGAATAACCTGATGGTAGGCAAGATTTGTCTGGTCTACATGGATGATATAATTGTGTATTCCCCGTCTTTGCAAAGTCACATGCAAGACTTGAGGACAATTTTTAAAAGGATAAGTGGAGCAAATTTTAAACTTCAAACAGATAAATCAGAATTTTTAAAGAAGGAAATAGAGTATTTAGGGCATGTAGTGACACGAGAAGGAGTCAGACCAAACCCAAAGAAGATTGAGGCCATTAAGCTTTTTCCTTTACTCAAAACAGCAAAGGAAATAAAGTCGTTTCTTGGACTCATTGGGTATTACAGGAAGTTCTTAAAAGATTTTGCAAAAATAACCAAACCATTAACTAAGAGATAATAATTAAGAGTATACAAAAACTTTTAAATATTGCAAGACGTTGTTATGCAATGATCCATTCTTGAGATATCCAGATTTTACAAAGCCCTTTATTTTAACCACAGATGCTAGCAATTTTGCTATTATTTATTTATTTATTCGCCAATGGATGGATAAATCCTTATCTGGCTATCAGCTAACTTAACTTTAAAACTAAATATTAATTAAAAAATATTCCCTAAGTAATTGCCTAAGCAAATCCTTCCTGGATCCCCAAACCAATCGAATACTTAGTGGCAAAGAGTTAAGAAGTCTAACGTTCTTAAGATTGGCTCATTCCGCGCATAGTTAGTCCTCGCAGCACTTTCAAAAAATGGGATGAGTGAGTGGTTATTAATAACACATGTGAAAGAATATTTAAGATACATTTACTATAGCGAACAACATAACATTTATTTAGGTTGAGAGGCAAATTGTTCTGAATACACCATAAACTGATTTTGTTTAAGTCCAATTGTACCAAATAACTGTCATTTAAGGAATTCACTGGCATGTAAATTTTAAGGTTATCCGCATAAATAAGATACTTGGCAGATTGAATGCAGAAGCAAATATCATTAATGAAAATAATAAAAAGCAAAGGACCAAGTGAACTGCCTTGAGGAAGACCAGATGTTGCTTCATAGAATTTAGAAACAATCCCGCTGACTTCAACATGATAGGATCGGTTTGCCAAACAAGAAGAGATCCAATTTAGAAAAGAACCGTGAATACCAAGCTTAAAAAGTTTTGCTTGCAAGGCAGAGTGAGAAACCTTGTCAAAAGCCTTGTCGAAATCAGTATAAGCTGTGTCCACTTGCGAATGTAACTCAAAGGCTTGTATGCAATGTTTCGCGAAAATAGCTAAATTCGAGGTAGTAGAACGACCGGGCATGAACCCTGATGAGGATCAATATAAGTACGTGTCAGGAATTTAATAATAATAATTTTTTAACTACAATTCTCTCGAACAGCTTTGCAATATTGCTTATTTTAGCAATAGGCCTGTAATTAGAAACCTCAGACTTCCTTCCGCCTTTATGAACCGGTAGAATTTTGGCAATTTTCCATCTAGAGATAGCGAAGACGAGAAGATCATCTTAAGGGGTTGAGGAAGACTGTGATACAATTTTTAAAGAAAAAATAAAGAAACTCTATCAATGTCCGGCTTAATGGAGTCGTCAAATTGCGAAAGACCTTCGCAAATGTCCTCATCATTTATTTTAAGGGAACCAATATTATAAATTTCTGGAATTTATTTAGAATTTTCTGTTCATTCCAGTCACAAGCAGGCTCAAAACTGGTCGAAAAAAAGGAAGCAAATAAGTTTGCAATATTTGTCCCAGAATTGGCGGTAGTATTGTTATATGACACAGTTGACGGTATGGAAGAATAAGATGTCTTTGAATTAATAAAACGCCAGAACGAATTTGAATTTGAAAATGTATTGATTATAAAGAAATTTATTAAGGAACACAACTTCCCGCTTAAGTTGTCTATATCTATCACGATCCACTGGATAACTTCATCTAATTAACCGTTTGTATAACTTGTTTCTTAGATATTTATATTTCTGGAGACCTTAAGTATACCAAGAAAGCCTATAGGAACACCGTACCTTGGTTGAAAAAGTGCTGTCAAGAGTATTTTTTAAAGCGACAAGAAAGTTATTGTAGTTGATCTCAATGCAAGCATTTGATAGTAAGGAAACCCAATCCATAGACGTGAGGCAATCACTTACGGCAACCAAGCTGGCATGATTAAAGTTATACATACGAATAAAGTTAACAACTGGTAAGAAATTATAAAATTCTAATATTTATTATTATTATATTAGTATAGAAATACTAAATTCAGCAAGGCTTACCGAGGAATGAACAATAGAATTGATGAATATAATAAATCTAGTAGCCTATGCAAATCATAAAAAATAGAATTTTGCTACGGAACTGCATCTTTCCCGGAGGGCAGCGCCGGCTAGCCACGGAGTCCCAGGGCGGAGTACCCCCTATGCCCTGCAGTCCGAACAATCGATTCCGACTCATCGGACGTCTCACGTCGATTTACCATCTCTACCACAAATCAAAACAAAACAAAGTTATATGTACATCAAGCAAACTAAGACAATTCGACGAAATTGGTGGCTTCGATGTCCTTGCCACGACGCACCCACCCAACCTTGGGTGCCCCAAGAAAGATGTGGGAGGCACACCCCATCTCCGGCAGACCGAAGTCTATTCCTGGTGGATTAGGATCGGCTCATCTCCCCGCCCAAGGTAATTCACAACACCATCTCGGTAGCTTGTTCACATTTAATTCTTGGCAAGACTAATAAGTAAATACATTCATTATTGATTCCTACTGATAATCTATTCTTTTCGTTAGAAACTCTTAAGGCCAATCTCAGACCGTCGCCCAGATGAGAAGCGGTCAAAGCGGCAACAACCGAAAGGGAAATTTTTAGACGCTTAAAGTTCCAAGTGTCAGGCAAAGTCGCCGCACGGCACTAAATTGGAGGCGTTTGCCAACCGGGTCGCCTAATCCTAAGGAGCTCCAAGGGAAAAGAGGGGACGTGCTGATAAGGTAAGTACGCTAAACAAATCCCACAAGTTATTAAATTTCGCGACCCAATTTAGATGTAGTTGGACGCGCGGCTAGGGTTCGGGCTTGAGCCTCTAATTTTAGATTAGATTTCACAGTAAGTACTTGACAATCTTGACTGCATGATATCACAAAACAATAACTAAAACTTATTTATTGCAGAGTTCAACGTCGGATGTGGTTGAAACTGCAGCCCGAATGGAAAAACGCTAGCGGCGAAAACCAGCGCGAGTCCGCACGGAGCCAGTTGGTCCGGAGGATAGCGCAGCGTGGCCGGAGGCAGTGCGGCGGTGGACTTGGAGATGACCACGTGGACAGCGCGGGCATTCGTTCCCGGAACTCACCGAGGGAATCTCCGTATCTGGCCGTCTTGGTGGCAGTCGCTGTAGCTGCTGGCGCTGAGGCTGCTGCTGCTGCTACTGATCGCTGCTGCTGCGGCTGATGCTGCTGCGGCTAATGCTGCTGCGGCTGATGCTGCTGGGGCTGATGCTGCTGCGGCTAATGCTGCTGCGGCTGATGCTGCTGCTGCTGATGCTGCTGCGGCTAATGCTGCTGAGGCCAATGCTGTTGCGGCTAATGCTGCGGCGGCTAATGCTGCGGCGGCTGGTGGACGACGTCCAGGTTAGGTCCGCCTGGTAAGTGTTCACTTCCCAAATCTTTTAAATTTCCGGGGCCCTTTAGTTAGGGTCCCCGGCGGCTTCAATATAAAAAAAACACTGTAATTTACAAGTTCCGGACTAATAAATATCCACTCACTTTGAGTTATTCAAACACTAATCACGAACTTAAATTTTGGGTTTTTTTCCGACCGTTCTCCTACTACTTCTTGCAGCAACTAAAGCAAAACCCTGACCTACACCAAAGTCGCTCGCCATTTTCCCTCCCGCTCTCTCAAGATGGGTCAGCGAACGTATTCAAGGCCATCTAACCCAGTTAACGAGCGAACCGGGCTAAATTTAAATAGCTAGATCCTCTCCCGCTATCAATAGTCGGTGTCACCACCAAATCTTATCGATAGCGGGACCTGCTGACGTATCGGTTCGTTTCAGTATTTTCCAGACGGCTTCAACTGAAAATGCAACACCACCCTGGATTCCGAGAGACGCTAACAAAGAGTTTTAGACCAGCGCAGGAATACTTGGGAGCATTTGGATTTGGACTATTCGGATTCAGCCGGCCTCGATACCAAGATGCAGTTCCAACGGTGTCCAACGCGGGTCCCACGCTTTACGGGAAGTAGACACATGCCGATTCTGAGCTCGTGTACTTTGTTATTCCTCTTTCCAGATCACAACCTAATGTCCTTGGCATGGTACACTCCGATCGGTCGTCCTTAAAGATCTTCAAGCTCGTACGCATTATTGCCGACTGTCCTGACCACCCGAGCTTTTAGGAACTTCCGAGCAAACTTTGCATTGAAGGCCTTTTTGAAATCGCTGAGGGCAAAGTTGCGGCGATACACTTCCTGACCTGGCTTCGCAAGGAAAGTACGAGCCCCTTTTTCGTACCGCAGGCGACTCCGATCGTATGCATCTTCGAGGTTCTTCTGCACCTTGTCATGGATCACTATCAAGTTTATCAGCTGTTCTCATCCCAGACATTTCGTGATCACACAGCGACTTCAACTTCCTTGCCAACTTGTAGCTGGCTCCGTTCGGGAACATGTGTCGTCCGAATACGGTGAAGAACGGAGCTTCTCCAGTTGCTGAATGGACCGCGTTGCGGAGGGCCACCTCAATCTCCGGAAGATACGCGTCCCATTCTCGATGGTCTTCTTCTAAGTAGCTTCGGATCGCCGCCAACACGCTTTGGTTTACCCTTTCCGCTGCGTTGCTTTGCGGAGAGTGGACTGGCGTTTTGATGTGCGTGATGCCAAAGCTTTCCATCGCCTCCTCGAAGATCTTGGACGTAAACTGGCGGCCGTTGTCCGAATGCACAATTTCTGGAACCCCAAACTTGTAGAAAACCTCGTGAATGAGGAACTCCACTACATTGGAGGCCGATGCCTCTTGCATGGCTTTCAAAAATGTGTATTTGGAGAAGTGATCCACCACAATGAAGATGTAGGCCTGTCCCTTCTTCGACCTCGGATACTTCCCCAGGAAATCGATGTACAGCTTCTGGAATGGCTGCTCAGTCTGGACTCTCTCACCGATACCAACTTGCATCCGGAAATTCGGGGATTTCGTCTCCTTGCACACTTCACACCTGCGTATGAACTCCCGGACTTGCAGTGCCATGACAGGCCAGTAAAACTGCCGCCATAGGTTTTCCAGAGTTTTTCCCATTCCGCCATGAGCTGCCGTTGGATCCGAATGTGCACGCTCAATTATGCTGTGGGTCAGACTCTGGGGAATCCACAACTTCCATTCGAAGCCTTCCACCTCGTCTCGTCTCTTGAAGATGAGACCATCCACTATCCTCAAGTCAGGTAGGTTGGCCAAGTTTTTTTCCACCTCTTGTAACAACTCCGTGTACTCTTCTTCAGCAAACTCAGTGGTCTCGAAGCCGAGCAACTCTGACGGGTCCACCGTTAGCTCTTCAACACAACGCGAAAGGGTATCTGCCACAACGTTCTCGCTTCCTTTCCTGTGTTCGATGTTGAAGTCATATCCCTGGAGTTGCAATGACCACCGAGCCAGCCGACCCGAAAGATCTTTCATGGACATGAGCCACTTCAAGCTGGCATGATCGGTGATGCACGTGAACGGCATTCCTTCCACATACGGCCGGAACTTTCGAATGGCCAGCAGGGCTGCGAGGCATTCTTTTTCAATGACGGTGTAATGGACTTGGTGACGATTCATCTTGGCCGAGAAGAACGCTATTGGTTGTTCCTGGCCGTCTTCATCCCGCTGGAACAACACTGCACCGACTCCGATCTGGGATGCACCGCACTGGATGAAAAAGTGCCGCTTGAAGTCCGCATGTACCAGCACTGGCGCAGTAGTTAGGGCCATCTTCAGGGTCTCTACTGCCAGCTGTGCTTCTGGACTCAAGGAAAATTTCTTATTTCCCGTCTTCTTCAAGGATTCCGTGAGCGGGGCAGCCAAAGTTGCGAAGTTCTTTATGAACCGACGGTACCAACCAGCGGTCCCAAGAAAGGCTCTCACTTCCTTCATGGTCCTTGGCTCAGGCATCCGCCTAATAGCTGCTACACGCCCTGGATCCATCCGCAGACGTCCTCCACCCACTATGAAGCCGAGGTAGGTCAAAGACTTGAAGCAAAACTTCGACTTGCTCAGCCCAATGGTTAACCCTGCTTCCTTCAGGCATTCAGCGACTCGGCGAAGATACTTCAAGTGCGTTCTTATGTCAGGCGCTAGTATTAGCAGATCATCCAAGTAGACGAACACATTCGAGCGGATTTCAGCGGGAATTACTCGGTCCATGAGTCTCACCAGTCTCTGTGATGCGTTGCAGAGTCCGAAAGGCATCACACGGAACTGGAAAAGAGGCCGACCAGGAACCGTAAAGGCTGTTTATTCCTTGCTGCTCGTGTCCAACTCAATCTGCCAAAAAGCGAACTTCAAATCCACGCTGGAAATGTAGTATGCTTGGTCAATTCTGGATAGGATGCCGTCTATGCTGGGCAACGGGTAAGCATCTTTGATGGTCACATCATTAAGCTTACGTGCGTCTAAGCAGAACCGGTGTTTTCCAGATCTTGATACTACGGTGGTGCGGTTACTCAAGGTGCTTTTGCTCTCCTCGATGACTCCGAGCGCTAGCATCTTGTCGACCTCGTCCTCGACCACCTTCTGCTTCACGGGAGACATCGGATAGGGTCGATCCTTGAACACTTTGGCTCCGTCCATCAGCTCAATAGTGTGCTTCTCCAGACTGGTGGTACCTAAGCCATCCCTCTCGAAAGTCAAGAACTGCTGCTTGATCTCCTCCAGCTCTTGTTCCTCGGCCTTGGAAAGCGTCCAGGACTCGGGATCGGGTTTCTCCTCATCGTCATCCTCGACCTCCGCGTAGTGTTCCATCTCCCTGGCGTGTAATTCTTCGGCCTTCTTCACGCCTTCCGAATCGATGTGGCCTATAATCGCTGGGGCCAGTCCGAATGCTTGCCAAAAATCCACTCCAAAATAAGCTGGCTGCTCCAGGTAAGGACACAAGTAGAAGAGAATGTGCTCTGTCCGTCCTCGGTATTCCACCGGTAACTTGACCTGTCCTATAATTGACCGATCCTCTCCAGAGGCCGTACGGACTGCGGATAAGTACTTCTGGACGGGCACATCCAAGGCCTCGACCAGCTCTCTGCCACCTTTTCCAAGCAGACTCACACTCGCTCCAGTGTCCAACAACCCCGTCAGTTGCTTGGTCAGAACTCGGACTGCGGCGAACGGTCTGGGATCTCGCGATAAACTGCGCCTCACGGCGGCCACTGCTTCGCGTCGGCAGTTCCGACGTTTGCGAAATCGGTCCCTGGCCTTTTGCACCTTGCGAGACACCATACGCATCCCGCCTAACTGGTGCTCTGAGAAGATCCTGTTCCTGGTCTCAAGATACCGCCGCATCCTCTCCGCATAAGGTAAGTATCGTAATGCAAACTTATTACTATTTTTAGAAGGTAAACATTTATCTAACCCTACCAGCTCTTCTTCTCTGCGGAACTCCTGTCTGGACGCATCCTCTCCGCCCTCGGATCGCCCAGCCGACCGTTTTCCGCACAATCCGGACATTTGGGAGACACGGTGTCGGGCTTCCCACATCGGTAGCAGAACAGTCTGCGTTCTGTTGCTGCGCAGTCACGGAACCCGTGATCCACGGCTCCGCAATTCCAGCAGCCGGCTCGGAACGGATTTTTAGGCTTCGCCCGCACTTCGTCCACCTCTTGCCACGGAGGATCCTCACCAGGATCTGGGCCAATCGCCTCGCTAACCTTGGCCTTCTCCGTGTACGTGGTCCGTCCACGTCGTCCAAAACTGCGCTCCACCTCGCAGCACTCTTCCCGCAGTTCATCCACCGTAAGCACATCCATCGCGTAGACAAACCTTGCGATGCTCTCCCTCAAGCCCTTTTTAATAATCTTCACCAGCTGCCGCTCTGACAGTGGCCTTTTCAGTCGAGCCGCCAACTGCTGCATCGCATGGATATAATCGCCAACTCCTTCTCCGGGCTGCTGCTCCCTCTGCAGAAGTTGGTGCATCCGATCGTGCTCCGTCTGATGGCATCGGAACCTATCCATCAGCGAGGCTCGAAGCTGGGACCACCTGTCCACCCTGCAGTGACGCACGTGCACCCAGTACCACTCCCGAGCCCGCCCAGTGAGCAGCAGGTGGAAGTTTCGGAGCACCTCTTGCCACGGGCATTGGCACTGCCGCTGCAGGAACTCCAACCGGAAGAGAAAATCTTCCACCGAGTTGCGCTCATCCTCCCCGTCGAAGGATACGCCCCACCGCTCAATTCGCCATTGCTGGTTGGCGGCGGCCGGCCCCACATTGGCATACAGACGCGGCTCCTCCCGGAACTCTGAGACCGTGCGGTCCTCAATGCACCAGCTGCGGGCCGGGCCATCGTCTCGGCGCGACCTGAACTGATCCGGAGGATACCCGGGACTGCTACTTTCCAACTCCTGGAAATCCAGCGGCCTCTTCGTCGGTTTGGGTGGCACCCTCGGCGGAGGTAGCCTGGAACCGTCCCTGCCGGCGACCTGTGTGCTCTTCGGCACCGCACCTTGCGGGGCTTGACCAGGGATTCCCGCGTTGATCCTTGAATCCGGACGCCTTCGTTCATCCGGCATGCTCTCCAGGGGAAGCTGAGGCCGCTAAGCAGCAAGCCTTAACACCTCGTTCATCAGCTTCATCATCTCCAGGAAGCCACTTCCCGCCTTCTTGGGCCTTCCGATGGGTCTCCGCCGCCTGTGCCAAAGCCACATTAATGGCCGACCTTGCCGCGGAATCCACAAAGGGATCGTGGAGTCTTGCGTCCTTATCGTCCAGCTGCAATAACTCATCCGCCGCGGAACCAATTCCCTCCAGGATCTGCTGCTGCCTTAGGTCCGGCTGCAGCTCTGTGTCCTGTGGTCCTTTTTGCTCTTGTTGCAGTCCCTGGCGCAAACGGGCAAGCGGAGTCCTGGGCAACCCTTCCGATATGCGCGGCATGCCAGCCTCGGTAGCGCCCTCCACATCCGTGGACCACATCTTTTCGTCGTCCTCGCCTGGAAAACCTTTCGACCGAAGCAGGTGATCATGCTTGCTGCCTTGTCGCTTTGACATCCTGAATTTTGATAACCCCTAACACGACTTCTGAAACCCCGAATTCAACGTGGCCACCAAAAGCCCAAATTATGTATAAATAAATAAATTATACTGAATGCTAGTAAATAATAATAAACAATAAATAATATGCACCTAAATAATACGAATACTTATATTACCAGGCCAATAAATAATAATAATAAATAAATAGTAACAATAAACCATGAATAGATAAGAAATAAATAAGAAAACATATTAAAGACCCACAAATACCTAAGGCTAAACAAATTCACACCAAATATTAGCTCTTATCAAAAAACAAGTCCCTCGACTAAATTTCTTTCTCTATTTTTTTTTTTTTTTTCCAGCCTCAATAAGGGGAGATGGAGCCGATCCCCAGCCGGTAGACTCCGCGCCAGTCGTCTTGCGTCTACAATTTCGTCCGAATTCTCAATAAACAAACCGCTCGTCAACTGGACTAACTTTCAGCTGTGCTGAAAGTCGCCAGTTAAGGACTTCGGCTGTTTGCAGGATCGCATAGGATTTCCTTTTGGACTTTGCGTTTTTCATTCAAGTCGCGGTGGCCGAGCAGCGCGTGACGACGTCACGGGTCACGACCACACATTTAAGTTTTAAACCGATATGATATGAAAACTCAAATACCCAGAAAACCCAAGGATCTGCACAAAACAAACAACTACACTGTAACCCCAAAACACGACATTCATTAAAATTACGTTAACAAAAAAAATATGTCCCTAATACCTATATCACAGTTTTATCACCGTTTTTGGTTTAACCTTTCGTGCTTATTGCACGGCCGACCTGGGATGCGAATCCTTCGATTTCCTTCGAAGGGGATGTCACCGCCAAATCACAGCTAATCCCTGTGAACTGTGCCTCGGGAGCAATTGTCCTACTTCTAGTGGACACGCCTCCCTTTCTTCCTACAAAATTTAAACAACTTTTCTCCACCAGTCCGCTTCCCGGTGCAATTGCATGTGTGTCATGCAAGCCACCGTTCGTGGGCTGGCTGGAGATAATAAATATGCGAGACGCCGTCGACTCGGCTATCACATATTTTATTTGTTAAATTGGGCGCCATATTGTTACGGAACTGCATCTTTCCCGGAGGGCAGCGCCGGCTAGCCACGGAGTCCCAGGGCGGAGTACCCCCTATGCCCTGCAGTCCGAACAATCGATTCCGACTCATCGGACGTCTCACGTCGATTTACCATCTCTACCACAAATCAAAACAAAACAAAGTTATATGTACATCAAGCAAACTAAGACAATTCGACGAAATTGGTGGCTTCGATGTCCTTGCCACGACGCACCCACCCAACCTTGGGTGCCCCAAGAAAGATGTGGGAGGCACACCCCATCTCCGGCAGACCGGAGTCTATTCCTGGTGGATTAGGATCGGCTCATCTCCCCGCCCAAGGTAATTCACACAACCATCTCGGTAGCTTGTTCACATTTAATTCTTGGCAAGATTAATAAGTAAATACATTCATTATTGATTCCTACTGATAATCTATTCTTTTCGTTAGAAACTCTTAAGGCCGATCTCAGACCGTCGCCCAGATGAGAAGCGGTCAAAGCGGCAACAACCGAAAGGGAAATTTTTAGACGCTTAAAGTTCCAAGTGTCAGGCAAAGTCGCCGCACGGCACTAAATTGGAGGCGTTTGCCAACCGGGTCGCATAATCCTAAGGAGCTCCAAGGGAAAAGAAGGGACGTGCTGATAAGGTAAGTACGCTAAACAAATCCCACAAGTTATTAAATTTCGCGACCCAATTTAGATGTAGTTGGACGCGCGGCTAGGGTTCGGACTTGAGCCTCTAATTTTAGATTAGATTTCACAGTAAGTACTTGACAATCTTGACTGCATGATATCACAAAACAATAACTAAAACTTATTTATTGCAGAGTTCAACGTCGGATGTGGTTGAAACTGCAGCCCGAATGGAAAAACGCTAGCGGCGAAAACCAGCGCGAGTCCGCACGGAACCAGTTGGTCCGGAGGATAGCGCAGCGTGGCCGGAGGCAGTGCGGCGGTGGACTTGGAGATGACCACGTGGCCAGCGCGGGCATTCGTTCCCGCAACGGACTCACCGAGGGAATCTCCGTATCTGGCCGTCTTGGAGGCAGTCGCTGTAGCTGCTGGCGCTTGAGGCTGCTGCTGCTGCTACTGATCGCTGCTGCTGCGGCTGATGCTGCTGCGGCTAATGCTGCTGCGGCTGATGCTGCTGCGGCTGATGCTGCTGCGGCTAATGCTGTTGCGGCTAATGCTGCGGCGGCTGGTGGACGACGACCAGGTTAGGTCCGTCTGGTAAGTGTTCACTTCCCAAATCTTTTAAATTTCCGGGGCCCTTTAGTTAGGGTCCCCGGCGGCTTCAATATAAAAAAAACACTGTAAATTACAAGTTCCGGACTAATAAATAACCACTCACTTTGAGTTATTCAAACACTAATCACGAACTTAAATTTTGGGTTTTTTTCCGACCGTTCTCCTACTACTTCTTGCAGCAACTAAAGCAAAACCCTGACCTACACCAAAGTCGCTCGCCATTTTCCCTCCCGCTCTCTCAAGATGGGTCAGCGAACGTATTCAAGGCCATCTAACCCAGTTAACGAGCGAACCGGGCTAAATTTAAATAGCTAGATCCTCTCCCGCTATCAATAGTCGGTGTCACCACCAAATCTTATCGATAGCGGGACCTGCTGACGTATCGGTTCGTTTCAGTATTTTCCAGACGGCTTCAACTGAAAATGCAACAATTTATCTGGGTGAGTCCCATACTCATACTATAACAATCATCGATGACAATAATTTCATGTGGCTGGTGTACATTGCCAGGCACCATAGCATGGGATTGCGGATCACATGACCATACAACAGATCCCAAATTAAAATTTCCTGTTACAACGAGACCAACAGAGTCATCTGGCATGTAAGCTGGCAATGTTATTCATATGCGCCTGATAAAGCGTAAAGTCACTTCCAAGAAGCAACTGTTACAGTCTTCCTAGACAATCCAGATACCTCAACAGCCAACTCGTCCAGAAGAGAGTCCTAAAGTACAGCTGTGCAGCAGGAGAAGGTACGACGGACAGCCACGATAACGCCTCAACCTCTCTCGCACTTCATTCTGCTGAAGTCTCTACCCTTGCGATAGACATGGAATATGTTAGAATCGAAGAACTCATTGGAGTTGAAGTTGGGGTTGAGCCAGGTTTCAACCAATATTATTATATAAAAATCGCTGTTGGAAGTACTCATGAAGAGGGAGTGAGTTTTGGTTCTCATTCCAGATTTGTTTTGAAAATAAATTTTAAGGCAATTACTTCCAATTCATTTGTTTGATGAATTCTCTTTAACCGTTGCCATAGCTTCATGAGGTGGTATCGTAAAATCCACAGGCAGCCTTTGCTTCGCAAGTCAAAAAAAGCCATTCAGAGCCGTACGCAATATTTTAGTCCGGATACGTATTGGTAGTGGGAGACTATCATTACGAAGGTTATAGTTGCAATCCAATCGTAGAAGACCTACTTGCAGATACTTCCAGAGTCGGTGAATGCCGTTCGGACCGCAATGCAGAAAGCTGATCATCAAAGAGAGGCAATAGAAGAGAAACTTGTGGAGAGAGCAAGCGTCCGTAAAAAAGTAAGATTTTACAATCTCCCGTTGGCATCAATGAGGAAGTGAGCGGAACTCCAAAAACACCGCTAATCCATCCAAGCGTCGGCCGAAGTGCCGATGCAGCGGGAGGTGAAGGGAGCGCAACTCGGAAGAGAGCGCTGTATAGAAGCGGACCCTTTTCAGGTAGGGAGCTGCATAAAGAAAATGGCAAAGTCATCCGATTTCGTTGTTGTTGCAAATATAGGTGCGAAGAGAGTGATAATCCAACGCAATCGCCATCCACGAGTAAAGCGAAGCGGCGAGGAGGAGATGGATAGAGCGCATATCTGAGGAGCGCGCTACAATCATATGCACTGGGTCATCAGAAAAAATAGCCGCCAAAAGCGACATAGTGTATGAAGCTGCATGATGATGAGAGAGCGAAACTCCAAAGAGAACGCCGTATTGTTGTTCAGAACGATGTAGAGGGCGAGCGGCCTAAGCACCAGCTTATGCATTTATTGTTGGTGATGAAGTTGAGAACTCCAGTTATAAATGATGCACGGTGACTTGGGGTTTTTTGATGGAAGCTTGACAGGTGTAGATTTACGCAATGGTTCTCCACCCAATGTGTCCACCACGGTAGACTCCAAGTGCTCTCTATCCCTGTGAATGAATCGGATCACCGTAACTGATTGTGGCCAGAACCGCTGATAATACTGCTCCGGGACTCCAAGCTTAAAGTTAATGAACTTTTTTTGTTAATGAATAGCATGATAAGCTGTCAGAATTTTCTTTTAACTTGTCAGAAACAAACTTGCACTACGCAGCTATCACATTGCCACAACAGATTCGGCACAATGGTAAGCAATTTTATTGCCTCTTTAGGAAAATTAACACAAGAAGTGTGGTAAGTGCGATGAACATCGAACAGCCTCAAAACCGCGAAGTTGCGGATGCGTAACGGCAACATTGCACTCAGAGCACGTAAATGGGGTCATAACGAAATGAAAACCGCGTCTGCTCGCAACGAAAGCTGATCAGAGACTTGACTATTGGTGCGGTGCTATCACAAGGAACGATGGGAAGTGATCGCCCAATCGCATTTGCGAACAGAACGTTAAATAAGGGTGAGGTCAATTATTCCACAGTAGAGAAGGAAATGCTTGCCATAGTTTGGGGTATATAACACTTCAGACCATACTTGTTCGGTCACTATAGTCACAGATAACCGCCCACTAACTTGGCTCATGGGATTTAAAGAACCCAATTCCAAGTTGGTGAGGTGGAAGCTGCAATATTGGAATATTGGAATATGACTACGAGGTGACCTACAAAAATGGTCACAAAACGTCGTGGCAGAGGCCTTGAGCAGAATTGAACTACAATTTCACAACAGTGAACTAGAGGCCACTTGTGCGGGTCATACAAGTGAACTGGAATTAAGTATCATTCATGTGGCGGAAAATCCACTGAATGACTTTAATATCCAGTTAATATTTGAGGTTGGGCCGATACCAGGCAGAATAGTGGGGACACATTTTAAGAACAAAATATGAAGGACAATTACAGAAAAGGAGTTCACAAAAGAAGAAATTGGAAATCTTAGTGAAGTGCTTAAACCATACAGGATGTGTGCGATATACACGTCAGACGAAGTCTTTAAGAAGGTTGAAGAAGCGTTTCTGAGTTATTTTAGCAATCGCAAACTTTATAAAACAGTACGATGTCTTACCCTGATGCGGGAAATAACAGATATTAGTGAACAAAGAGAAGAAATAAAATGGTATCCTACCCCAGGTAATCATAGGGGAATAGATGAAACGTTTTGGAAGATGAGACGTGACATTTATTTTCCATTTATGAAAAACTGAGGAACACAGGTCATTAATGCGTTTGAAGCTTGCCAGACATTGAAATATGATCGGCAACCACTAAAGGTGGTATTTCAAAATACGGAAACTCCGTGCAAGCCACTTGACATCGTTTATACGGATTTATACACAATCAACAAAAACTAAGTTATAACAATAATAGACAAGTTTTCAAGGTTTGCTGTGCGGTACACCATACCGTCAAGAGATAGTTTAAATATTGTTAAATCAATAAAGAAGTTCATAATTCAGTACGGTGTCCCTAAAAAGATCGTATGTGACCAAGGCGCAGAGTATGCCTCGGCATTATTCAGGGATTTCTGTAGACAATACGGAATTGAATTGCATGTGACGTCGTTTCAACAATCGTCCAGCAATTCACCGGTTGAAAGGCTTCATTCAACGCTGACAGAAATTTATAGAATAAATATGAAAACAAGGAAGGACTTAAAACTAAAAAATTAGAATGAGGAAGTTTTAGATGAAGTTTTCCTAACATATAATAACTCAATACACTCTAGTACGAAATTGAAGCCGTTCGAATTGTTCTCTGGGAGAATAGATTAATTTCGTTACGGAGCATGATCACTTAAGGAAGTTAAATGCTTATCAGGAGGAAGTGTATAAGAAAGTTAAGGACAGGTTAGGAAGACAAAAACAGGAAAGGACGCGAAAACTAAACGAGGGAAGAGAAGAACCCATGGAGTTGGAAAAAGGATATGTAGTTATAGGAAGCAGAATAGAAGAAATAAACAAACACCTATGTTAGCACAGAGTAGATGAGGATAATGGGGTTACATTCCATACAAAACGGAAACAAAAGATACAGTTTGTCGAGAGTCAAGTCAAAATTCTTATAAATAAACAAGTATTATAAGTATAAAATAAGCTTTTTAACAACCAATGTTCAAAAGTTCATGAAACTTTTATTTGCGAGAGCGAAGGGTTGGGTGTTAAGATAAAAGGAAAGGAGTGTTTGAGGAAGATTATAACGAACAAACCACCAATATGGTATTCAGTAAATCTGGAGGGGGGAGAAATGGTTTTGACACCTGAGGATGGACACATATTCATTTTCAATGCTTTGGACTTATGATATAACAGTATCGGGGACGCTATCTTACCACTACAATAAATAAGCAGATACTTATAAATAACACCAAACAGATGTTAAAACTAGAAGTTTTACATCTCGAAGTTAAGAGAAACCTCAAAAAAGTAGTGTACTTAGGAAAAGTACAGAAAAAACATTTTTCCGTAATATACGGTATGTTTGTGCTTCTAACGATACTGGCAATATGGAGAATTAGAAAAACAAAAACAATCTTCACCCCCAATGCTTTTCTGCACAA